GGATGTCCTGGAGGTGTTTTGTGGTCCGGGTTGTCGGGGTGATGTTTTGCAGTTTTTGTTTTTGTATTTTCCGGCTTATCCGCTGCGGGTGCGTAATACATTATGTGTTTTGGTTGCTGATTATGTGTTTTGTGTGTGGGTTGGGAGGCGGGAGGGTTTTGGGGTTGCCCGAATTTTAGGATTTTTACGGGGGCGCATGCGGTTTACCTGGTGGTGGTTGCAGCGCGCTTTTCCGGAGGAGTTTGGTCGGTGGTTCACAGATGCCTATGTTCGTGGGGTTGCCTTTGGGTCGGCGGGTGCCTTGGTGGCAAGGTGATGTTCTCGTCTTGGGTGGGGTTGGGGTGTTGATGGGGGGTTTAGAGGGGTTGGGGGGTTTCGGGGTTTGCTTTGCTATGCGCTCCCTTTCCGCTTCTTTGGGTGTCCTTGGCGGGGGTTGCGTGTGATTGTGTGTCTCCCCCCTTGAGATGCTGCTGCTCCTGTGTGTGTGTGGTGTGTTTCCGTACCTCCGGGTGCCGGTTGTGTCCGTATGCGTGTGGGTGTGTGGTTTTGAGGGGGGTTTTGGCTCCTGCGTGGGCCTGGGTTTTCTGCTGTACTGTTTTCTACTGTTCTTTTTGTGGCCGTGTTTCGCTTTGGCCTGTAACCCATTATTTTGCGTGCTTGGGTGCAGTGTGGTGTGCCGTGGTGGTGTGGGTGGTATGGGTGTGTTTGTCTTGTTGTTTAGGGTGTGTTTAGTGTGTGTGTACATAATTTCTTCTCATTTAGTGTATGTCTTTTCCTGGGTAGCGCATGTATGGTCCTATGCTCCTTTGTTCTTCTGTGTGTGTCGTAGGCGTGGTTTTGTGCACGTGATTTTCCATCTACGTCTGTGTATGTTTTATGTTATTGGTTCCAGGTGTGTTTAACTGTTATTTATGTACTTTATTGTTTTCTTTATTTTTCATGTAATTTTCTTCGCCATGTTCTGTGTTGCTATGTAGATATGAACTGTTTAGCCTATTGTTTCCATGTACTGTTTTAGCACTTATTTCCCTGTACTGTTTAGCCCATTGCTTCAATGCGTTTTTATTTTGTTCAGCGCTTGTGTTTGTTTTGCGGTTACTGTTATTGTTTAGTGTACAGACTGTTTATTCCTGTGTACTGTTCCTTCATTGGTATACTTGATGTGTACAGGTTTGCGTTGTTTTGTGTGTTCTTGTATTTGTGTAATTTATAAAAATAAAAAAAAAAAAAAATGTGGAACGGCTGCTGCCGTTCTGCATCGGGCGTCGGTTCGTCCGGCTAGTGGTGCCCACGTATCTGGGTCCGCTTCTGGCTCTGACGATATCCGGCCGGAGCCCAAACGTTCCAGGCGTTAGTCCACTGCCTGGGCCGATGTTGGGGACTTCAGTGACTGTGGGTCTTCAGGTGTTGACGGCGTGGATCCGGATGCGTCGTTGTCTCTGCGGGTGGTGGTGGCGGAGGTTCATGTGCCTGCTGGTGCTGATGCTGTCTCTCTGGTGTGCCTTCTGTTCCTTCCCTGCGCGGTTCCCCCGGGTCTTGTTCACGGGGAAATATGTCAGCTGATTCAATGTTACTGTAGAGTTGTGTGCCCCTATGGCCTTTTGTTTGCCCTGTTGTCTTTTGTACCAGTGCCTATCCCTTATTTGTTGCGAGGCAGGTGTTTTGGTGAGGGCGTTTTTATTCCTGTATTTGCTTTTGTATTGTTACTGTGCCATGTGTGTTCTACTTATGCATTGCTAGATTGTGTTGTTTTTTGTTTGTGTTTATTTTTATTTTTATTTTTATTTGTTTTTATTATTGTATTTTGTTTTTATTTTTGGCTTGTTGTGTGTTGTGCGTTTTTCTTGTATCTATTTTCATGATGTCCTTTATGTTGTGTTTTTGTTCCCGGTCCTTCAGGCCGGTGCTTGTTTGTTTGTTGTATATGTTACTATGTTTTATTTCTTGCTTGCATGGAGTGCTAGTTTGTTATTTTTGTTTATTTTGGGCGTCTTCCTTTGTTTGTTGCGAGGCGGTTGGTGTGGTGGTGTGAGGGATTTTATTAATGTCTTGTTTCTGTGATGTACATTTGCACTGGTGTTGTCTGCTTGCATTATATGTTGTACTTGTTTGTTATTTTTGTTTTGTTTTGTTGTATATTGGGATTTTCTTGTTATATTTTATATTGTTACTCTTGATGTTTGATTTGTTTTGTGATGTTTTGTTTTGTATTGTTACTGTGCTTGCTTGTTTGACATTGTTTTGTACTGTTACTGTGCTTGCTTGTTTGACATTGTTTTGTTTTTTGTGTCTTGGTGTATGCTACATTTCTCGTGCATTTACCGTGTTTGTAATGTGTTGTACTGTGCTGTCGGCTCCTCTGGCCGCTGGTTTCTTGTTTTGTTATGTGTTCTATGTTCTTGTATTGTTTTTCATTGTATTTAATTTGCATGCTATGCATGTAAAAAAAATAAAACAAAAAAAATGTGTCGTAGTAATGGTATCAACGAGATCTCTGGAGAAGGCTTGTATATTCGTTATGGTGTAATCTTGATACCATTTTGATATACAATTAATAAAGTGGTCATGCAAGCCATATGGAATATTCATTTTTCGTCTCTGATGTCTATTAGGTGCATCACACTGTACCTCATAGGAAGCAGAAACTGCATAGTGATCACTAACCAAGTGATTTACCAACGAACATTCCATCCTATCTTGCACAAGGTTTCTACCCATTACATTATCAAGTCTCCCTCCCAATAAATAAGTTTGGGTATCCATAGTATACACCTGCACTCAGTCTACCGCCGTCAAGGTCTACCTGCACTGAGTCTACCGTCGTCAAGGTCTACTGCACTCAATCTACCCCGTCAAGGTCTACCTGCATTGAGTCTACCGCCGTGAAAGTCTACCTGCACTGAGTCTATCGCCGTCAAAGTCTACCTGCACTCAGTCTACCGCCGTCAATGTCTACCTGCACTCAGTCTACCGCCGTCAATGTCTACCTGCACTCAGTCTACCGCCGTCAATGTCTACCTGCACTCAGTCTACCGCCGTCAATGTCTACCTGCACTCAGTCTACCGCCGTCAAGGTCTACCTACACTCAGTCTACCGCCATCTAGAGCCCCCTCCCAGTCCCCCGTGCTAGTTTACCAGCAGTCAACACGCCAGCGAGCAGCAGTGACCAACGATGGAGACAGTCTTAACCTGCGGGTGAGGGTGTAATGAGTGTGAAGGAGCAGAGTGGCGCAGTGGAAGCGTGCTGGGCCCATAACCCAGAGGTCCGTGGATCGAAACCACGCTCTGCTACAATGTGATTTTTGGATACATTTTGTTATAATTTATTTGCATCACTCTTTCCATAAACATATGGAAACAAAAATGAATATATTAAATATGACAGACTAAATTCTCAGAAGAATTGAGAAGTTAGATCAAGTGAAACTTTAACACGGGTGGCACACGCACAAGGGGACACAGGTGGAGGCTGAGTACCCAAATGAGCCACAGAGACGTTAGAAAGAACTTTGTCAGTGTCAGAGTAGTTAGTAAATGGAATGCACTAGGCAGTGATGTGGCGGAGGCTGACTACTAACACAGTTTCAGATGTAGATATGACAGAGCCTACTCATCAGTTGATTGACAGTTGAGAGGCGGGACCCAGGAGCCAGAGCTGTAACAGAAAACGATTGGAAAGAATATCCACAACCATATATCCATACCAGAAACAGGAAACAAAATTATACAATGAAGTATCATAATAAAATAAATTAATAAAAGTTCTCGTAGCAGAGCGTGGTTTCGATCCACGGACCTCTGGGTTATGGGCCCAGCACGCTTCCACTGCGCCACTCTGCTCACCTTCGACCCTTGGCATCAAACCCTCATCTTAACTCATTCATCAATCTATATCCATAATTCAAATATATATATATATATATATATATATATATATATATATATATATATATATATATATATATATATATATATATATATATATATATATATATATATATATATATATATATGCAACTGAAAACTCCACATCCCAGAAGGATTCGAACCCAGAAGCACTATACACCATGGCGTGCCCGGTTCCTTAACCACTCGACCAACTGTGACTGTACAAAAGACATTAGTAACCGAGGCTATTTCCCCAACATCTCGACAGCACTTGGTGGTAAGCTTGGGCATACAATTAGGTGAGTACAGAAGAACATGTATATATGCTGGTTAGTATTGTAAATGTGTGGCCACGTCTGTGGGTGAAAATAATAACAACAAGAGAGTTAGGGCAGCAACACGTGGACCAATATTACCACAACACACAACTACAACCTGTGTTATATAGAAGGAAATAAATCCGGCTCTGTCTGAAGTGTAGTGTTGGTAACACTGGACAACGCTGTATACCAGCTCCAAAAGTCCCCACATTACATCTTGCATTTCGTAGTAATGTTCAGCGTGCAAAAAGTCAACAATCAGTCTCGTAGTTTGCAGTACCGAGTTCAATCCCAAATTATCCGAGCTAATTACCCCATTTATGGATTCGCCTCACATGACGTGGATGAAGGGGTGGATTACCAACGAATACCCATTGTGTTGATCCATGTGAGGATATAACTACAGTTAACTACTCTCTGGGGACTAATTGTGAATACAGCGTTTTCAGGCTTCAAATTGGCTGAAAAGTAGCTATAATTTTTTCCTGAGCAGGAAATCAAGACAAAAAGGCTGTTAAGGGTTATCGCGGTCCCCTTAAGCCTATGTCCCTGACTCTCTCCCAGCATGCACCCCACAACAGTTGTCTAGCTCCCGGGGACCTAATTACTCCTAGGTGAACAGTGCAACAGGTGAAAGTAAACGTGTCTAAGCGTCTCCGTCCTGCGCAGGAGTCGAACCCGGGACCTTTAAGCTGTGAACGGAAAGACAACCGGTCGGCCGCTATTTACCTCACCAAATATGACGGGAGAGAAGTGGCTGCTCTGGACAACACGTCCAGTTACACGTGGTAATGTTGGGAGAGGAAGAGAAGGTGTGGGTGGAAGAGCACGCCCACAGACGGCAGCCACGCCCACAGACGGCAGCCACGCCCACAGACGGCAGCCACGCCCACAGACGGCAGCCACGCCCACAGACGGCAGGCAAGCCCACAGACGGCAGCCACGCCCACAGACGGCAGCCACGCCCACAGACGGCAGCCACGCCCACAGACGGCAGCCACGCCCACAGACGGCAGCCACGCCCACAGACGGCAGCCACGCCCACAGACGGCAGCCACGCCCACAGACGGCAGCCACGCCCACAGACGGCAGCCACGCCCACAGACGGCAGGCAAGCCCATAGACGGCAGCCACGCCCACAGACGGCAGGCAAGCCCATAGACGGCAGCCACGCCCACAGAAGGCCGCCACGCCCACAGACGGCAGGCAAGCCCACAGACGGCAGCCACGCCCACAGACGGCAGCCACGCCCACAGACGGCAGCCACGCCCACAGAAGGCAGCCACGCCCACAGACGGCCGCCACGCCCACAGACGGCAGCCACGCTCACAGACGGCAGCCACGCCCACAGACGGCAGGCAAGCCCACAGACGGCAGCCACGCCCACAGACGGCAGCCACGCCCACAGACGGCAGCCACGCCCACAGACGGCAGCCACGCCCACAGACGGCAGCCACGCCCACAGACGGCAGGCAAGCCCACAGACGGCAGCTACGCCCACAGACAGCAGCCACGCCCACAGACGGCAGCCACGCCCACAGAAGGCAGCCACGCCCACAGACGGCAGCCACGCCCACAGACGGCAGCCACGCCCACAGACGGCAGGCAAGCCCACAGATGGCAGCCACGCCCACAGACGGCAGCCACGCCCACAGACGGCAGCCACGCCCACAGACGGCAGCCACGCCCACAGACGGCAGCCACGCTCACAGACGGCAGCCACGCCCACAGACGGCAGGCAAGCCCACAGACGGCAGCCACGCCCACAGACGGCAGCCACGCCCACAGACGGCAGCCACGCCCACAGACGGCAGCCACGCCCACAGACGGCAGCCACGCCCACAGACGGCAGGCAAGCCCACAGACGGCAGCTACGCCCACAGACGGCAGCCACGCCCACAGACGGCAGCCACGCCCACAGAAGGCAGCCACGCCCACAGAAGGCAGCCACGCCCACAGACGGCAGCCACGCCCACAGACGGCAGGCAAGCCCACAGATGGCAGCCACGCCCACAGACGGCAGCCACGCCCACAGACGGCAGCCACGCCCACAGAAGGCAGCCACGCCCACAGAAGGCAGCCACGCCCACAGACGGCAGCCACGCCCACAGACGGCAGGCAAGCCCACAGAAGGCAGCCACGCCCACAGAAGGCAGCCACGCCCACAGACGGCAACCACGCCCACAGACGGCAGGCAAGCCCACAGACGGCAGCCACGCCCACAGACGGCAGCCACGCCCACAGACGGCAGCCACGCCCACAGAAGGCAGCCACGCCCACAGACGGCCGCCACGCCCACACCACCTGCGGGAACAGTAGCAGTGAAAGTGGACAGTGTGCTGATTAGTGTGGCAGTGTGTGACGGTGTTGGTATGTGGGTCACTCCCAGGGTCCTGTGTGGTGGACACGTGTTGTGGTGGACACGTGTTGTGGTGGACACGTGTTGTACTCACCTAGTTGTGTTTGCGGGGGTTGAGCTCTGACTCTTTGGTCCCGCCTCTCAACCGTCAATCAACAGGTATACAGATTCCTGAGCCTACTGGGCTCTATCATATCTACACTTGAATCTGTGTATGGAGTCAGCCTCCACCACATCACTGCCTAATGCATTCCGTCTGTTAATTACCCATAAGGTAATTAGTTCAACTGTGTATTGAGCCGCCTGCGACTACTTCTTCTTGTACTCCAGACATTCCTTACTCTCAAAAGTCTGGGCACACACACACACACAATGCGGCATGATAACTGAATGGACAGCGCTCTGGACACGTAATCCTAGGGTTCGGGTTCGATCCCCGGTGATGGCAGAAACAAATGGGCAGACTTTCTTTCACCCTGATGTTCCTGTTACCTAGCAGTAAATAGGTACCTGGGAGTTAGACAGCTGTTACGGGCTGCTTCCTGGTTGATTGATTGACAGTTGAGAGACGGGCCGAAAGAGCAGAGCTCAACCCCCGCAAGCACAACTAAGTGAACACAACTAGGTGAATATACACACACAAACACATACATATAAAAGACAATATGAACATGAAATAGCAAGCAAGGCAAAGATTCAACCCAAATTGCTGCACAGCCACACCAGGAAGCAAACAACATTCAAGGAATAGATAAAGAAACTGAGGATAGAGGCAGACAAAGTTACCACAAGGGACAAGGAAGTGTGCGAGGAACTCAATAAGAAATTCCAGGAGGTCTTCACTGTAGAGCAATGGGGAAGTCCCATTGATACGAGAGAGCATTTCTAACCAAACACCACTAGTTGAGTTTGTGAGTACCAGTGGGGAGGTGAGAAAGCATTTGCTGGAGTTGAAAGTGATAAAGGCTATAGGCCCGGATGGAATCACACATTGGATACTGAAGGAAGGAGCAGAAGTTCTGTGCTTCCACTCTCCATAGTGTATAACAAGTCACTGGTAACGGGTGAACCACCGGCTAATGAAGATGGCTAACGTAGTCTCGATATACAAAAAAACAGATAGACAGGAGGCACTGAACTACAGGCCAGTGTCGCTAACTTGCATACCATATAAGCTGATGGAGAAGATTGTGCGAAAAAAACCTAATGGAACATCTGGAGCGGAAGAACTTTGTATCACAACATCAGCAGGGGTTCAGGGATGGCAAATCATGACTCACAGAATTCAAGGAATTCTACAATTCCGTCCCTTCTTGAGGCCGAAAGAGCAAAGCTCACCCCCCGCAAAAACACAACTAGTAAACACAACCAGGCAACAAAAATCAGGCAAGAAAGAGAGGGGTGGGAAGACTGCATATTTTTGGATTGCCAGAAAGCCTTTGACACAGTACCACATAAGAGACTAGTGCACAAGCTGGAGATGCAGGCGGGAGTGAAAAGGAAGGTACTCCACTGGATGAGGGAGTACCTAAGCAACAGATTCAAAGAGAGCGAATCATTGTGAGGGGTGAGGTCTCGGAGTGGCGAGGAGTCACCAATGGAGTCCCGCAGGGATCAGTTTTTGGTCCTATACTGTTTCTGATATATGTAAATGATCTCCCAGAGGGAATAGACTCGTTGCTCTCAATGTTTGCTGATGATGCAAAAATCATGAGGAGGATTAAGACAGAGGAAGATAGTATGAGGCTACAAGAGTACCTAAACAAACTGAAGGAATGGCCCAACAAATGGCTACTAAAGTTCAACCCAAATAATGTAAGGTAATGCATCTAGGAAAAGGAAATAGAAAGCCAGGCACTGGATACCGAATGGAAGAAGAAGTCCTTCACGAAAAAGACAGAGAGAAAGATCTAGGAGTTGATATCACGCCAAACCTGTCTCCTGAAGCTCACATCAAAAGAATAACATCAGCGGCGTATGCTAAGCTGTCTAACATCAGAACTGCCTTCAGAAACCTGTTAAGGAATCTTTCATAACTTGTACACCACATATGTAAGGCCAATCCTGGAGTATGCGGCCCCAGCATGGAGCCCGTACCTTGTCAAGCACAAGACGAAGCTGGAAAAAGTTCAGAGGTATGCCACTAGGCTAATCCTAGCATTAAAAGGCATGAGTTACGGGAAAAGACTGTTTGAACTGCACCTTACGTCACTGGAAAACAGAAGAGCTCGGGGAGACATGATCACCACATACAAAATTCTCAGAAGAATTGACAAGGTAGACCAGGATGGATCATTTAACACGGGTGGCACACGCACATGGGGACAGAGATGGAAACTGAGCACCCAAATGAGCCACAGAGACATTAGAAAGAACTTTTTCAATGTCAGAGAAGTTAGTAAATGGAATGCACTAGGAAGTGATGTGGTGGAGGCTGACTCAATACAAAGTATCAAACGTTGATATGATAGAGCCCAGTAGGCTCAGGAATCTGTGCACCAGTTGATTGAAAGTTGAGAGGCGGGACCAAAGAGCCAGCGCTCAACCCCGCCTGTACAACTAGGTGACTACACCACCCCGCCGCCTTATAACAAAAACTGTGTTAACCACAGTTAACGACCATCTTGTACCACAGTTATCGACCATTTTGTACGACAAAATTATCCCCGAGCCTTACAAGGCGCAGGGCCGGGCCCGGCCCGCTACCGTGCGCGGCACCCTAATGTTGGGTCGACCCCTCAGGGACGACCAGCCCTTGTGTGGTGGTGAGGGACGACCAGCCCTTGTGTGGTGGTGAGGGACGACCAGCCCTTGTGTGGTGGTGAGGGACGACCAGCCCTTGTGTGGTGGTGAGGGACGACCAGCCCTTGTGTGGTGATGAGGGACGACCAGCCCTTGTGTGGTGGTGAGGGACGACCAGCCCTTGTGTGGTGGTGAGGGACGACCAGCCCTTGTGTGGTGGTGAGGGACGACCAGCCCTTGTGTGGTGGTGAGGGACGACCAGCCCTTGTGTGGTGGTGAGGGACGACCAGCCCTTGTGTGGTGGTGAGGGACGACCAGCCCTTGTGTGGTGGTGAGGGACGACCAGCCCTTGTGTGGTGGTGAGGGACGACCAGCCCTTGTGTGGTGGTGAGGGACAACCAGCCCTTGTGTGGTGGTGAGGGACGACCAGCCCTTGTGTGGTGGTGAGGGACGACCAGCCCTTGTGTGGTGGGGACCTGGGGTGGTGGGGACCTGGGGTGGTGGGGACCTGGGGTGGTGGGAACCTGGGGTGGTGGTGACCTGGGGTGGTGGTGACCTGGGGTGGTGGTGACCTGGGGTGGTGGTGACCTGGGGTGGTGGTGACCTGGGGTGGTGGTGACCTGGGGTGATGGGGACCTGGGGTGGTGGTGACCTGGGGTGGTGGTGACCTGGGGTGGTGGTGACCTGGGGTGGTGGGGACCTGGGGTGGTGGTGACTTGGGGTGGTGGTGACCTGGGGTGGTGGGGACCTGGGGTGGTGGTGACCTGGTGTGGTGGTGACCTGGGGTGGTGGTGACCTGGGGTGGTGGGGACCTGCGGTGGTGGGGACCTGGGGTGGTGGTGACCTGGGGTGGTGGGGACCTGGGGTGGTGGTGACCTGGGGTGATGGGGACCTGGGGTGGTGGGGACCTGGGGTGTTGGTGACCTGGGGTGGTGGTGACCTGAGGTGGTGGTGACCTGGGGTGGTGGGGACCTGGGGTGGTGGTGACCTGGGGTGGTGGTGACCTAGGGTGGTGGTGACCTGGGGTGGTGGGGACCTGGGGTGGTGGTGACCTGGGGTGATGGGGACCTGGGGTGGTGGTGACCTGGGGTGGTGGTGACCTGGGGTGGTGGGGACCTGGGGTGGTGGTGACCTGGGGTGGTGGGGACCTGGGGTGGTGGTGACCTGGGGTGTTGGTGACCTGGGGTGGTGATGACCTGGGGTGGTGGGGACCTGGGGTGGTGGAGACCTGGGGTGGTGGGGACCTGGGGTGGTGGTGACCTGGGGTGTTGGTGACCTGAGGTGGTGGTGACCTGGGGTGGTGGGGACCTGGGGTGGTGGTGACCTGGGGTGGTGGTGACCTAGGGTGGTGGTGACCTGGGGTGGTGGGGACCTGGGGTGGTGGTGACCTGGGGTGATGGGGACCTGGGGTGGTGGTGACCTGGGGTGGTGGTGACCTGGGGTGGTGGGGACCTGGGGTGGTGGTGACCTGGGGTGGTGGGGACCTGGGGTGGTGGTGACCTGGGGTGTTGGTGACCTGGGGTGGTGGTGACCTGGGGTGGTGGTGACCTGGGGTGGTGGTGACCTGGGGTGGTGGTGACCTGGGGTGGTGGGGACCTGGGGTGGTGGTGACCTGGGGTGGTGGGGACCTGGAGTGGTGGAGACCTGGGGTGGTGGTGACCTAGGGTGGTGGTGACCTCGGGTGGTGGGGACCTGGTGTGGTGGTGACCTGGGGTGGTGGGGACCTGGGGTGGTGGGGACCTGGGGTGGTGGGGACCTGGGGTGGTGGTGACCTGGGGTGGTGGTGACCTGGGGTGGTGGTGACCTGGGGTGGTGGGGACCTGGGGTGGTGGTGACCTGGGGTGGTGGGGACCTGGGGTGGTGGGGACCTGGGGTGGTGGTGACCTAGGGTGGTGGTGACCTGGGGTGGTGGGGACCTGGGGTGGTGGTGACCTGGGGTGATGGGGACCTCGGGTGGTGGTGACCTGGGGTGGTGGTGACCTGGGGTGGTGGGGACCTGGGGTGGTGGTGACCTGGGGTGGTGGGGACCTGGGGTGGTGGTGACCTGGGGTGTTGGTGACCTGGGGTGGTGGTGACCTGGGGTGGTGGTGACCTGGGGTGGTGGTGACCTGGGGTGGTGGGGACCTGGGGTGGTGGGGACCTGGGGTGGTGGGGACCTGGGGTGGTGGTGACCTGGGGTGGTGGTGACCTGGGGTGGTGGGGACCTGGGGTGGTGGTGACCTGGGGTGGTGGGGACCTGGGGTGGTGGGGACC